AAGAATGGTAGCAGTTCAACAAAAGAGTAATTATCAAAAACAGAGCAAACATCAAGGCTTAATCGTTTCTTCGTGCCTCAACAAAGAATCATTTATGTAACAACAATTTGGTCAAACCAATATATAAAACACTTGTGTAAAGTTTACATTGATTTCATTAAGAATTCAGAAATTTCATGTTTCGAGTCTAACATCATTTCGTGACAGCATTAGCATCGAGAAGTATCTAGAGCTCTTGTCCATGATTTTCTCTTCCTCTTATTTGATCCACCAACTGTTTTTTCTGGCTCGACCGGTTTCTTACTTTTGGTCCAAGAGATTCCCTGATTTCTGTGGACCGCTTACACTTTGCTTTAGATGGTTCCAATTTTCAACAGCTCAAGAGTTGGTTTTACACCTTTGAGCACAGATAACTTGATGGGCCAACAACATTTATCATTCTGACGATGATACTTGATTGCATCTAACAAGAGATTATATTACAACACAAAATGGAGGTCAAAACTTTATTTCCTAACTTGGGTTTATCCAATACAAGCATACAGATTACAGAATGCTGAATCAGTATAACTTTGTGTGTATGCAACAATTGTGCTTATGAAAGATACAACAAATGTACACTGCAACCTATCCCACTGGACGCTTCAACTATTCCAAACCAAAAACTCAACCTTCACTACAAAAATGGCTTTGCAATTGTTCCTGATTCATGCCTAGCTTTAAGATTTGTCCAACTTCCCACATAATAACATATCAGTGACCATGCTACGCAGAAGGCTTTACTCATAAATTGCTTTGATGAGTTCAGCTGACGAGCTTGTGTCGTGATCTCTAAGTGTCTCATTATTTATGCATACGATTGGCATAATCCCATCTTTTTTCATTTTTCTCCACAGCTTATCCGCTTCACTCCGTCTGCCTTTCCTACACAACCCTGATATCATTGTGATGTATGATATTGCATCAGGCTTGACTCCTTTGCGAGTGTGGCTACAAAATAATCGCCAAGCCTTTTCCACCTTTCCAGTTCTACACATCCCTTGAATGATGATATTATACGTGATAATATCAACATCCATTTCACTCTTTTGCATATCCTCTACCATCACCAATGCTTTCTCTATCTTCCCGTTATTACACAGACATTCTACCAAAATGTTGTAGGTAACAATATCAGGAGGCACACCACAATCGACCATCCGATTGAAAACCTTTTGGGCAGCGGTAAGTTTCCCCGCCCTACAATACCCGTGGATAAGAGTGTTGTAAGTGAAAGCGTCGCCAACCAATCCTCGATGAGCCATCTCACCGAAGAGTTTCATCCCATCTTCTACTCTCTTAGACTTGCAAAATCCATTTATGAGAGTATTATAGGTCACTACATCCGGAAAACAGCCCTTGTCTACCATCGAATCAAACATTTGTTTAGCCTCGCCTAGGCGACCGTGAATGCAAAGACCATTGATGAGTGAATTGTAAGTGTAAACATTAGGATCTACCGACCTTCGGATCATCTCCCTGTACATGTTTTTAGCCTCTAAGAGATTCCCCTCTTTCACAAATGTATCGATCAGTGCGCTGAAAAAGACCACGTTAGGATCGAGTTTCCTCTTCTTCATATCTCTCAGAAGCCGAGCCGCCTCGCTCCATCTACCAGAGTTACAAACTCCACTTATCAGAGTGTTGTATGTAACAAGATCCCCTCTGATTCCTTTCTTCTCCATGAGATTAAAAAGCTCCAACGCGTTATCCGAATCTCCGTTCTTGCAAAGACCATTAATCACAGTGTTGTAGATGACTACATTAGGCTCGTATCCCGATTTCGACATCGTATCAACGAGAGATACCGCCTCGTGAAACTGATTCCTGCGACAGAATCCATTAAGCAAAGAGCCAAGTGTGACAATGCTTGGCTCAAATCCAAGTTTCATCATTTTACCTAGAACAGATAGAGCAAGAGAGAGACGAGAGCATCTGCATAAACAATCAATCAAAACAGTGCAGCTATAGAGATCGTGTGAAATCCCCAACTTCTCCATCTTGTGACAGAGATAAAACACGAAATCGAACTTGTTCATCTTTGCAATCACAGTCAAAACTCTAGTGAAATCGACAATGGTGGGAAGAGGACGAGAGCGAAGCATCTCGCGGAAGAGACCATACGCATCGTCGAACTTGATAGAGTGAAGGTAAGCATCTCTCAATCTCTCTCGGTAGTGACTAGAGAAAGGTCGTAACCAAGGAAGACGAAACGAGTGAGGAGTCTCCGGATTGCTATTACGAAAATGGTGGCGACGGAGAAAAGACTTCGCCGTCGGAATCGAAATAGATCTCTGCATCCAAAGCGATGAACCCTACCAGCGACGACCAATGCTCCGGCAACGAGAGGTATCTGAATACGCTACAGTATCGTTATCCACACGACGACGTTTTGGGAAAAAAAATGTCAATGTTAATTAACGAAGTCAATTAGCGTATTAGGCAACGTTTTAAAAACTCTGACTCG